AAATTATTTACTTAAGACATAAGGCAGGGTATTTATAGAAATACTTGCCAAATGGATATTTTCTTCAGGAAGTTCACACTAATCTTCCTTTATTTTGTTGTATAATTATTTTTCTTTTAGATTAATGGGATGTTTACATATACCATTGCCACCAACATGAGAAAAAAGTGATCATCATTGATTTGAAGCTTGGTGAGTTTATTCATAATATGAACCAGTTCTACATTATATCAGTATAGGTCATTCTAAACCGGGAACTCTATTTGCCAGAGTAGAATTGTAGCTCTATGAGTATTTGAAATGAACTTTTATCTTTGCTTATATTTTGACTGAAGGTATAATTTTACTAAAAATATTCTTACTTAAATTTACCAAATAAAATGAAGTTCATTTTATCAATAGGCTCAATCAAATCCTTATCCTGAAGAAGCTATATATTTTAAAATATATATATATATAAATTACCTTTTTTTGGAATTACCAAGAATTATTTTTTAAAAGTTCTCAATTGCGAATGTTGAGAGGGTTTGACTCCACCATTCTATATTTTGGTATAAATTGACTGAAATGTATTATTTAATGATAAATATTGTTGGACGCAGGATTGTAGATATATATTTAAATTCCTACTTATTTTGGAATTTGTCCTCAGACTGTGAATTATATGTTCTTCATTTTGTCAGATGAGATTCCAAAGACTGCCTTTTTTCTTCTGATTTTAGAGGTATGAGAATCTTTTAATTTCTACCCCATCTGCTTCCCATCTTCCAAAATTACTTTGAAATATTTTGTTTTCTTTCCCCCTCTTTTAATCTCTTTTTCCTTTGTGTTTAAGTTTTACATATTCTTTTACTGTGATTTTACCAGTGTTTTGGTTAGAAGAGATAATAAACTCCAATGGTCAATCTATCCTTTTTACTTGGAACTAGATTAAACACTTTTGAACTTACCCTTTGTCCCAACATAAATGACATTAGGAGGACGCAGGGAGTATTCTATGACATTCCAGCAGAGTAGTGGCGCCTGGTGATTATGAACCCAGAAGTAAGAAGTAGAAAACAGCACAGGCATGTGACCACTCAGTTACAAAGATCTTAGGGGCAAGCAACAGGGCACCAAGCAATGGGCAGTTCCTGAGAGCAGAAATCCCATCACTGAGACAGCACCCAACAAGTCCCATTTCTCAAGCATTTGGAAATCCAGAGAACTTCACAACATACAACTCTTCTATGCATAATATATCTTGTACATAATTCCTTAAATGTTTTCACAGACATTTTTATTTTACTCTTTTTCCAATGTCACCCAACTAATGAAAGTCTTGGACCAGAGAATCTCCCTCTGAATAGATCACATAATGAGCACAGAGCTGCTACGTCTATACAGAGGCTTTGCTAGAATTAGAACAAAAAAAGTAGTCTTTCCACAACAGGATGGAGCACAGCTTGGTGTCCCATAGTTGGCAAGAATTGTCTGCCTGGATGCCAGCTTCCTCTCTCCCTTTGGACCAGACATATATGTAGAAGAGACAATCTGCAAAATTGTACCTAAGGGGACACTCTGGTTGGTCAGTTTGATCTTGTTGCTCTAGCATGCCTGAGCACTTCTGACCAAACAAACCCGACCTAATAGTCTCAACCCTTCAATATGATACTTAAGTGAATTCCTGTAGCAGACCCACTTAATCCTAAAACTGGAACCCAGCCACTAAAACACCATATGAACAATAGAAATATGGAAGCATCAAAAGGAAGAAGATTTTCAGAATATATTCAAATGTTGAAGAAAAAAATAATATTAATGAGAAAAACTGGTAATATCTGAGATGAAATTTAAAAAGAAGAATAGTCCAACAGAATGTGCATTTCCTGTACACACAAAAGAGAAATATTTCCTGAGTGACAGAGTATAAGAAGCTAAACTGGAACAGTTTTTGCATATATCTCTTTTTCCAATCTTTAGAGTTCCACTTTGTACTAAAGGAAACTGAGAATCAGAGTTGACCTAACATGTCCAAGGTCACACAGCTTATAAGAGCCTGAACTCAAGTACATGTCTGTTTGAATATACTCTGTCACCTCTCAGGAACTCTGGGAACCCCCTAAACTCCATGCATCTAGAAATTACCTTCAATGTGCTTCTGACCTCACTGAGAATTGCATGGCAATTCTAAGACAGCTATGCTTTTGCCAAACAATTCCACTAAAGTTATTTGAAAAATGATAACTTGTAAATAGACATGCACTGGAGTTATAGAGATCACATCAAGAAAGACAAAAATATGTACACACCTTTCTAGTAGATCAAATGAGGAGATAATGGGATACAAAATCTATTATTAAATGTAGAGAGCATATGATAAGTCCAATCCTGGTAGAAGACAGCAGTTATACAGACAGAGAAGGCATGGGAAGAAAGTAAATTCTTTACCATCCTCCTAATTAAAAAATAAACAAGGGCTGTTGAATGACTGCACCTCATGGGTGATCAAAGAAATCTTGAACTACATGTAGTTCAGAGTTCAATTGTACATAGGACCAGTGTGAACAGCCAGTCAATGCAATAGCTTTCTTAGCCTCAATTTTTTCAAATTACTGTTACCAGCAAGAGTCCAACATCTTTAGTCTTGCATTTAAGGTCATTTAGATCTAACTGCACAAACATATCCCACTGATAAACTCCCCCTTCTGCTTGTGCTTATACTATTTTGAATCTATATTTGCAATCAAAATGGCTAATCAATTAACCTATTCCCCTTCAACTTTGTGTCTTCCTGTAGAGCTATTTTGCTCCTCCCCACTTACAATTGAGATCCATATAGAAGATATAAGACCACACCTCCCATAAATTCTTATCTCCAAACCTCCAAATGTACTTTAATTGACACCTAAAATTTCTTCAGCCCTTCCAGAGAAAGGAAGTAACTTCTTCCTATACTGCCACTTCTCCAAGGTCCCAGCCCCACATTCTGTATTCTAGTCCCTCTTTCTTTCTCAGGAACTTAAAATTCTACGGATGGTCCCTCTTTCTCCTATACCTTCCACCGCTCTCCATGGCTAGCATTTGCCAACTTCGGGGTGTGCCACCCATTCACATTGCAGGCTATACTGTAATGATACCCCATAAAGATATGAAGACCAGAATAGCCAAATGTCAGAGCCCTACATCTCTGTCCCTGCTATAGCGTTCTGTCAACAGCTTTCCCAAAAGACAAGAAAGAGAGAGAAAGGGAGGAAAGAAAAAGGGGGAAAAAATGCAAATTGCAAGTACCTCTGTAAAATTATCCCTCCATGTAACCTGAGCTCCATTCCCTCCCGTTTTCCTCCATCTGTTTTCGCCCTCCCTGTTCCACTGAAAACTCTCTTCCCCACGCTCATTAATGCCTTCTTGACAACATCTTTCAATTCTTGGTTCTCAGTCTCTCCCCAGCTTTTAACTCTCAATTGGCCACAGTCCTTTCTGACAAGCACATTTCTTTGGTTTCTATGAGAGCATATCATTTTGGTTTCTGTCCTACGAGCTCCTATTTCACAGTCTTTCTCTTAAATGTTTGTGTTCTTCAGTCACTCATCTGGAGCTGCATTCTTTCCTCAGTTCACTCTCTTCCTGGACATCTTATCATATTTCTGGCTTCTTACACATTTATGAAAACTGCCTGAAGTCTAAACTCTCACCTGAACTTATTCACTTTCTTTTTCTCACTTTCCATGTCCAATGTATTAACGAGGTACTAGCAGTTTTTCCTTCAAATTCTCTAAAATCTACCCCCCTCCCTCCATTCTCCACTGCCACCCCCCACTCACCCCTCATCTGGACTCCTGCAGTTGCCTGCCAACTCTCCTCCCTGATTTCCACTCTTGCTACAGGGCACTTCATGCTAGTCACAAAACTGACTGCAAATGTTAACCTGTCTCCTCTGAAATGTAAAACCTTTCAATGATTTTCCAACTTCTAAATATAAAATCTAGGGCCTGCATGGCCTAATATTCTTGGCCTCAGCCTCTTCTTACAACTTCATCTCCCACCACTTTCTTGCTGCAGTAATCATTTTGAACATGATTATTGGTCCCAAAGACCTTTTCGGTTCATTTCTTTCAGATCTCTCCCTGCCGTGCCCTAGATTCATAAGGCAACTTCATTCTTTTCCTTTCTTCAAGTAGGACCTGACTGTTGCCTCCTGACCTTTGTCCAGGTAGCCTCCTTCCTCTCTCAGCACTTTCCCACACCTTCAGCAGATTCCAGCTCAGATAATACTTCACTGGGATACTACTAACCACCCTCAAGTCTAGCTGCATTCTCCTGTGTTTGCTGGCTTCCCCTGTACTTCCTGTATTGAAGCCCCATCACATGCATCTCACTTGCTTGGCAGTTAAGGCAGGAAGAGGAGAAACAAGATCTGTGTGGACCACCTACTGGCAGCCAGAGCTTGGGGCATAATAAGGTGTCCAGGGCCAAGCACTTCAATCTAATTTTTTTTTTTTTTTAAATCAAACTAACAATGTACAGAATGGAGAAAACTATACAGGCAACACACTTCTCAGAATTCATTCCTAAGTTTCATTGTTCATTTAGCTATTATACTATTTTTTTTGACTAATTACAAAAAAGCAAATTTTTGCTCAATATATAGAGAGAGCTTTTGAAAAATAAAAATTGCCCAAAAAAGGAAACCTTAGAAGTCGGTGAATTCCCTTGTCAGTGGGCTGTAAATGAAAAGGTATTTCTCAGAACTTTGCATTTTTAAAACCCCATTCTTCAATGAATAGGTGGGCTAGATAATTTCTAAACTCACATAGAAATCTAAGCACTGATATAAAATATGCATGAGAGCTGAGTCATTTCCTTCCCCTCCATAACCCCCCTCACTGTATTTGAACTTCAAGAATTCATCTTATTTTTTCATCATTTGTAGCTTTATGTGTTCTTTAAAAATTAACTCTAACATACAACTATTTTAAATGACTAAATGATACAAATATATACTGTATTTCTTTAGAAAAATGAGCAGGCGGAATTGCTGGATTTGTAAGATGTGCAGCAATGAGTCCGAGAGACTCCCTTCAAAGTAAGTAGCATTTAAATTCTATGGCCATTTAAGGTATTTTTGTCACATGATAAGTGTGTATTTATTTAACTGTTCTCAATATATTTTGCCCAGAAAGTAAAATTTGCATTTATACATGAGTAATTTCACCAGAAGAGCAATCATGTGTTACACTAAGATTCCGTTTTCATTATTCATGGTTTACACTTGAGAATTCAGCAAGTTAAATATTTTTAGCATCTATTATGAGTTTTTTAAAGTTTGAGATTTTTCGATCCAAAATATTTTCAGAGTTCAAACCCTTCATCTGTGAAGTGCCAGAAACCTTCACTCCTGCTGGGAATGGTGGCACACACCTGGGATGCTGAGGCAGGAGGATCACGAGTTCAAAGCCAGTCTCAGCAATTTAGTGAGGCCCTAAGCAATTTAGCCAGACCCAGTCTCTAAATAAAAATATAAAAAAGGGCTGGAGATGTGGCTCCGTGGTTAAGTGCTCCTGGGTTTAATCCTCTGTACCAAAGGAAAAAAGTTCATTCCTAGATGGAATTTATGAGACTGGAAGGGTAATTAAATGTTTACCAAGTTCCCAATCTCTTTAAGTTTTGCCATAACTAAAAAATGTAGCCATTTGGAGGAGTGACTGGATTAAAATAAGAAGAAAGAAGAATGCCTGAGAAATGTGAGAAGCCATTCAGTTGGATGTACTCACCGCAAAGACTTCCCAGGTTGGAGATCCTTCTGAGGTTCACGATGAGTGCCTAGCCCAGTCCAGGTAGAGACCTCAGCTCTGGGCTCATCTCCCTGTAGGGTCACAGCTCCTGGCCTATAGGCACCTCAGCCGAAGTACGGAAAGTCCTAGAACACTCGCAAGCCACTGTGTCTTTAGGAGGAGGCTCAGCAGGAAGACCCAAAGCTCAGCAATTTAAACCTGTTGAGGCTGCTGACCTACACAGATGCATCCAAGGAGAAAAGATGTTAATAGGCAATTGAGAACAGCTGTCTGTTCCTCTCCTGGTGATTCCAATGGACTATCACCATCAGAGCTTGCATTTTTAGCTACCCGCCTTGTAGTCCCACAATGAGGGAAGGGGAAAGTCAAAAACAAGAAAATTCATGTTTGCAGAAGGCAGTGCTTGATGACAGTCACTTGATAAGGGCTTTGCATTCACCACCTCATTTAATTTTCATGGTAACTATGATAGACATTATTATCCATTCTCTAGATAATGAAACTGAGGTTTAGAGATTTTTAAATACAGTAAGATCAGAAACTATTAAGGACAGCACTGGGATTAGAACCTAGAATTATCAGCCTCTGAACACTCAGATAAGCATGCAATACACCTTATCTAGCACTTTCCATTTCCCTGGATTGAGAAGGTTATTTTAGGTTACTCTTTCCAAAGTTCTAATAAGAGAAAAGAACAATGAGTCAGGTAGAATTTCATGGAAAAAAATTTTTTTTTTGAAAGCAATCCTAACACAGTACACTGTTAAGCTTCAGTACTGATACAAACAGTCCATCCAAAATTGACAGGATCCATCTGAATTTTTAGAAAACAAAAGATATTTGACCTTTTTAGGGCTCCAAATCTGTTTCCATGTTCTCAGCAATTTTTTTAACCTCTGTAATTAATCTTCCTTCTTTGCGTTAAGAACCTGCTAATACTGATAGCTCTTCCTGCAGCGCTAATTTTGGGGCTAACAGCCCCCAACAGTACAGCCAGTGAACAGATCTTGCTTCCATATATAGTCATCTTTGATTATATCTAGTTGTTGGGAGCAGGAAAATCAAGAATGTACCACAAATCCAATGATAATGAACACATTAACTATTTTAAAGAAGGATAATTTAAAAATCAGCATGTGAAAATGTAGTCTCTTGCCAGTTCACTTCAGGAAAATCCCCAACAAGAACAGAAGAGATGCCCTAGAATTAGTGTCTTTCACAGATATTTTCTAAATGACAAATGGCTTTGTTTATACTGTTTAAGTCAAATGTCATATTGTAATTAATATTAAACCTTCAAACTCCTCCCTCCCAAAAATCGGCAAATAAGAGAGTGAGAAAATCATAGGTACAGAATTACTAATTTTATTATGAAAGTACATGCACATAGGTTTTGTGGGTGAACTCTGAAGATTCTAATAGACACAATGGATAAGCATGTTGCTGATGGCAGAAATATACAGTCCATAACCCTGTGAAAGCAACTTGGCAGTTTGTACCAAGAACCTTAAAACTACATCTTTTTTTTTTTTTACCCACTAATCTCTTTAAGAAATTACCTATCTTATGGGGCACAGCAAGCCTTATCCACAGTTGGGGCTACTTTGGGGAATAGAAAGATTGTATCACTATGATTCTTTATCTTTTTAATACTTATTTCCTTATATTTTCAAAAATATCCTGCTTTTTATGAGTTTTATAAGTTTTAAAATTTTATTATAAAAATAAAATGTAAGTAGATACATTTCCATACAAAACCACACACAAATGGAGTGTAATTATATTTCAGGTTTTTTTTTTTTTTTTTGAGGTAATATAATTATATTTAATTCAGCAAAAACCTCAAGAACATTTAACCCAATCAGCATCTTTTTTTGTTGTTCTTTTTCAAAGCCTTACTCTGGAAGAAATATTACAGTGGGCCCAATCTTTTGAAAATTTGATGGCTACCAAATGTGAGTATTATGCATATCTAATCTTTGAATAACCAGCCAGTGTCATTCTTAGGCAAAGAAGAGGGAATCTAGTTGATGAATATACGCTGTTCTGCTCAATGGCAACTGACATCGTTATAAAAAGAAAACCTGAAAATAGTTTGTCGTGTCAACTATGGTTATTTTTCTCTAGTGTTAATTAAAACAAGATTAGTCACTGCAGATATTTATTCTTCACAAGTATATGTATAAAATCCCTTGGCAAATATGCTGAAATAGTAACACATACTGAAATATGCTGCCTTGCCATAGCCTTCCAAAGTTAGCATTAAAAAAAAAAAAAGTCTGCTTTGCTGTTCCAAGCGCTTTCAAAAGTAAGAGTGAAGTTGAATCTTGATGTTCTGAAACTCCTCAAAGTTTATCAGTGTCTGATTTAACTGGGCCTATATGTGGATCTGTGTACAGTTGTATGTAAGTATCAACATGATATAAAGCAGAGAGAATAGTAGTGGATAAGAAGAGATAAATTCAGAGGTTCAAGGAAGGAAATATGAAGAATGATGTACACTCAAGAGAACTGCCAACTGTACTTGGGTTAAGAAACTGGCAACGGGGTGTGGTAGCACCTGCCTGTAATCCCAGTGGCTTGGGAGGCTAAGGCAGGAGGATGGCAAGTTCAAAGCCACCCTTAGCAATTTAGCAGGCCCTAAGTAATACAAAAAGGGCTGGGCTGTAGTTCAGTGGTTAATCACCGTGGGTTCAATCCCCAGTACAAGGAAGGAAGGAAGGAAGGAAGGAAGGAGGGAGGGAGGGAGGGAGGGAGGGAGGAAGGAAGGAAGGAAGGAAGGAAGGAAGGAAGGAAGGAAGGAAGGAAGGAAGGAAGGAAGGAAGGAACTGGAAGGTTGTAGAAAATGATAAAAACCAAAAGACAAAGTAGTGGGTACTCAGAAAATTTTTCATCGAATCAGTAATTTTTTGTTTTTGTTTTTGTTTTTGTTTTTAAGTGGAGTTAGTGCCACTCAAATCTTTGTTAATTTTTACCTATAGACCCATGTTTTTACTTAAGATCCCCTTTCGGGCTCTCTGTGAATATTGAATCCATGGAGGCAGGCTAGGTGTGCTGCGTAGATGTTTTAATTGGTGCACTGCTGTGGTTATTCTGGACAGGAACCTCCTGTCGCTCCTGGGGCTGCCATGCTGACTCAGCCCTCTTTGGTATGGACACACTGTCACTGTCTGGGCCAAAGGGTGGGAGATGGGGACCCTTGTCTACTCCTGCTAAAGACTCTACAACTTGCTGCATGGCCCCTGCCCTGCTACTAGAAACTGCACCCCAGCCTGGGGCACACCCTGAGCTCTGCTTCCCTACCAGGCCTTTCCAGTGAACACTGGGAGCCATGGTTTCTTTATCAAACTACCTCTTTCACTTTTAAGGTGTTCCTCAAAGTTTTGTGATCCAATTCACGAGCCTGACTATGAATTTTAAACAATATCTTTTGGGTACTTTTGACAGCATTTAAATGGGAAGAAAAGACAAAAATGTTTTGTTTAGTCAACTTTGTTGATTCTTCTTCTGTTAATAGTTTGGATTTAGGTCCCAACATTCGACAGAAAAGATGAAAGCAAGAAGACATCATACTGCTCTTTATAAAAAACAAGCAAAAATATGGTAAAAAATCTTGTCAGAAATCAAATTAGTATGAAGTTTATATAAAATATTTTTTAAAAGTGATAAAACAAATCATTCTGTGGAGCAGTCAGCCAGAAAAGAAAACTATGAATATAAATATTAGACTTTCCACAGTATAAAAATGTGTTTACGTTCACCAAGGACACTAGCAAAATTCATCCTTTAAGCTAAGATATGCAGATGACTCTCTTTTACATAAATTAAAGCACTGATTCTAGAAACAACTAGTTCAGCAATTCACATGGGGAGAAAACATATTAGGCTGGGTCTCAAGAGAGGAGCAAATATTGGTTTAGAAGATGTTTGTTGGGGAGCCATTAAGTATAAATACATAGTCAAGGCAATACAATTAGATTCAAATAATTCCATAAAAATACCTTTATGGAAAAAGAAAAAAAAAAAAAAAACCTCATCAATTTGAGCATAGACCTATGGCAAAATTGAGACATTAGTTAAAAATTAAGAATGTTAGATCTGGGACCAGTGGAACACACTTGTAATCCCAGCAACTTGAGAGGCTGAGGCAGGATGAGCACAAATTGAGGCCAGCCTCAGCAACTCAACAAGACCCTGGCTCAAAACGTAAGCAAAAGGAACTAGTGATGTGCTTCAGTGATAAAGTACCCCTAGGTTCAATCCCTAGTCCAAAAATAGAACGTTGGTAACCTGGACACATTCTAGATGTTATCTAATGTTACATTGTTGACAGACAAGTTTTGTAAAATGCCGAAGACATTTTTTTACAAATATTGTGGGCCTCTATTCAAAATTCATTCAATAAATATATATTGAGCACTTCTTAGTATCAGGAAGGGTACCTGGAAAAAAATCCCACGTGCCCATGTGACACATAAAATACCAAGGTGGGGGTGGCAGGGAGTTCCAAAAACAGAAAATCCCCCAGAAAAGAAAAAGGAGGATTTCCATTTAAGGCACATTAGGGTAAAATTTAAAAACAGTAATTAAAGCAATTTTTTTTTGTAGCACTCTGAATAGAATTCCAAAGGCGAGACAAACGCATACTTTAAAAAAAATAATAGCCTTTGACAAAAAAAAAAAAAAAAATTCAGCTAAGGCTGCATTAGGAGCTGACTGGCAATATTTTAAAGATAAAAAACTATTGCAGAAGTAAGTCCAGGAGATTTAAATGGTGTGTCTTTCAATGAAGACATGTAGTGTGGAGGATTCCTCGGGACTTCATGTGAAAACCAGCATCATTATAAAATCCTCCACAATGAATTAAGCAGGAAACACAAAAGTTCCCCCCAAATCTCCAAATGAACAAGTGATAGAAAGTTCTTCAAGTTTCCAAACATCTGAGTTTTTAGGTAATATTAAATTATTTTCAAACGGACATATAGATAGTGAGAAATTTTAAATGTTCCAAGTTAAGACTTTGTCATCTTTCCATGAAAATACCTGAGAGAATCACCTAAGAATTTTTCTTCAATGATGGTTTCCCAAACCACAGCACTGCAACCAAAACCATGGCAAAACATGAGGCATCACCAAGGTAAACACAAGAAACGAAATTCTGTGGATTTTTCTGATGACTAAGCCTTAACCAAGATACAGTGGAACTAAAAAAGGTACAGAGAAGTGCATTTGAGATGTCAGAGAACTAACAACCACCTAAATCCAGGGAGTCTTCAAAGTGGAAAGGTCAGGACTGAAAAAAAAAAAAAAATCTATAATGTCAGAAAAAAAAATCTGTATAATGCCAGAAAAATATCTAAAATGCAGAAGGTACATACTTATATGTATGAATGAATTCTCAAAAGATGAGAACAGCGTTGCTCACTGATGTTTGTGTCAATTACATTTCATACAACTAAAAAAGATGTTTAGTTCCAAGTTGTTCCTTGGGTGAGTCATTCAATCCCAGAGTGTGTCTGGAAGAACATCCAAGACCTGGAGACATTAGGTCACACTGCTCAGCATGTGCTCCCTTTGAGGGGAGGACACAGACAGACAAGCAAGCAAATTAATGAATAACTAATTTCATAAAGTGGTCAGTGACTTGTTGAAAATGAAACCAAATGATATGACTAAAAAAAAAATCAGGTAAAAGGTCACAATTCCGTTGATAGTTAAAGAACAACTGTGAGAAGGAGTAAAATGTGAGCAAAGAGCTGAGTGAGGAGACACAGCCACCCACGCTGAAGGCTGTGGTCAGAGTGGCTCAAGCAGAGAGAAACCACCTTTTAAAGGCCCTGGAGAAGTGAGTGAGGTTAGTGTCTTCAAATAACTGAAAGGAATTTGAAATGAGAGGAGCACAGGGCCTTACAAGTCACACTAAAGGCCTCAAACTAGAGTAACAAGGCTTAGAGTACCAGATACCCTGGTTCTCTTCTGATGAACAGAAACAGGGAGAGTGGTTACACAACTATACAATATACCAGGTCAGATTAGAATCAGTGGAGAAGATAAGGCTGGGAGCAATTAGCATGTGGCTAAGTAGCAAAAACCTCTCTAGGGTCTAGGAGATCACTGGAGCGAGGGTTCAGATAGAGAACTAAGATCCAAGAAGAGGAGAGGGGTGGTGGAAGAGGATGGGAAAAGAGTCTCAGGGGAGTTAAGAAAGAATAAAAACAGTGTGTGATCATGGAAGCCAAAGGAGACAGTTGCTTCAAGAAAGGAACCCTGAACTGTGTCAAAAACGCTGAAAAGTCAGGTAAGGTGAGAAAATAACAGCGCCCACTGGAGGTGGCAATAAGGAAGCCAATAGTGCCTTGATGAGCAGTTTGGAGGACACACAGTGAAGATGGTAACACAGGGATGATTCACACATGCTTTGATGTGAAGGTCAACAGACTAAAAAGCAGAGACTGGAAAATGGCTGAATAGGAAGCCTGATGTGCTTCCTCCACAATGAAGGATCGAAACAAGGAAAAAAGAAAAAAAACTGCAGCTGTTTCACTGGAGTGTGAGGCAGAGTGTTGGAGTGCCGTGGGGATGTGGCAGAGATGGTGCAGAGCATGGAGATATACTATGCCTCAGAAGGATGGGAACTAAGCACATAGAATCCATCTTTCCATCTCCAAGATCAATCCTGAGTCAAGAAGGACTTCAATCCATCAGAAGTATTTACTACTGGAGAATCATGTGGCTCTTACAAGCATTAGATTTAGTTTGGGGAAATGCCAGGTTACCACAGTGCTGGATTGCCATAGAGAAGGAGTCCAGCCCATGCTGTGCCCTCCCCCACCCACACTCTTGCTTCATGGAGCCATCTTGAAACCTCACCCACCTGAAGCAACCAGGCAATTTCTCTTGGAATCTCCACTGAGCCAGCCCTGTGAGCCACCAGGAGGACAGCCAAGCCTGTGAA